CCATCCCGGACGGTCCACGACACTGATTATATGCTAACCACGGGGTAGATTATTCATGAGTGTTTCAAGACAGGGGTGGACAATTCTCAGAACTGAGGCTTCCTCCCACTTTTAGACCATATAAGGTAACGTCCTGATGTTACCATGGCATTTGTAAACTGTCCTAGTGCTGATGGGAGTGTCCCTTAGCATGCTAATGCATTACCATTAGTGTATAAAGAACAGTGAGGACGACCAGAGGTCACTGCATTGCCACATTGGCTTTGGTGGGTTTGGGCTTCTCTACCCCGCGCTGCTTTATTAGCAAGGTCTTTAGGACCGGTGTCTTGTGCCCACCTCCTATCTCATCCTGGGACTAAGAATGCCTGACTTCGGCTGGGCATGGTGGCTCATGCCTGTAATCCCAGCACTTTGGGAGGCTGAGGCAGGATCACAAGGTCAAGAAGGTCGAGACCATTCTGGCCAACATGGTGAAACCCCGTCTCTATTAAAAATACAAACAAAACAAAACAAAACATGGTGGCGCACACCTGTAGTCCCTGCTACTCGGGAGGCTGAGGCGAGAGAATTATTTGAACCCAGGAGGCAGAGGTTGGAGTGACCCAAGATCGTGCCACTGCACTCCAGCCTGGTGAAAGAGCAAGACTCCATCTCAAAAAAAAAAAAAGAAAATTAATAAAAATAAGAGCCTGGCCTCCTTGGGATGAAGCCCAGTGGGAGTAGGTCTCAGCCTTATTTTACCCAGCCCTATTCAAGATGGAGTCACTTTGGTTTGAATGCCTCTGACACTTTGACCTCTTCTAGCTTCAGGTCCCGAAGTAGCTTTGGTAGCCTGGACCAGAAGCAAGCGCTCCAGGCCAAGAGGTGCCCTGCTGCTGCCCCCGCCACCCTCTGGCCCAGTGTGCGTGTGAAAGAACCGCTTGCTTCTTCCTTTCTGTTTTCACAGACCGAAGGAGGCTGGCCCAGCAGCTCTGCAGCCCCAACCCGGCAGGCAGTGAGGGGTTAGCACAGCCTAGCCGGGCGCGGTGGCTCAAACCTGTAATCCCAGCACTTTGGGAGGCCGAGGCGGGTGGATCACGAGGTCAAGAGATCGAGACCATCCTGGTCAACATGGTGAGACCCCCGTCTCTGCTAAAAATACAAAAAATTAGCTGGGCATGGTGGCGCGTGCCTTTAATCCCAGCTACTCAGGAGGCTGAGGCAGGAGAATCGCCTGAACCCAGGAGGCGGAGGTTGCGGTGAGCCGAGATCGCGCCATTGCACTCCAGCCTGGGTAACAAGAGCGAAACTCTGCCTCAAAAAAAAAAAACAAAAAAAAAAAACCCCGAACCTGAGTGGGGGGCCTGCAGGACTGGAGGGGCGACGTGGGCCCTGCTTTCTCAGAGAGCCTCGGAAGGGGACAAGGCAGGGATCGGGGACGAGGCAGGGCGTTCCAGGAGCCCTGGGAGGCTTCGGAGGCTTGATGCCGGGAAGTGTGGGAATCCACTCGTGATCTAGGGGCTGATTTTGACACACAAGGGATCCAGAGAGAGGCTCTCGAGCAGGCCGAGGGAGGGCCGCTGCGGTAGATGAGGATGAGGAGAGGATTGCTCCTGAGGGATGTTTGGGAGGCCGGGGGGAGGGACTTGGTGGTGACCACAAGGAGAAGGGACAAAGAGGCAGGCCACAGATGACTCCCAGCTGCAGGCTTGAGGCCTCAGTGGGGCGGGGACACCAGTTCCGAAGATGGTGAACGCCTGGAGCAATAGGCCTGGGAAGGAAGGAAGATAATGGATTAGCTTGGGACGCCTGAGGACAGGTAGGTTGAGACGCTGTGCTGGGAGGCAGCGGTTCCAGGAAGAGGCAGAGGGAGGAAGTGGCTTGCCTGCTGGGGGTCACTGAAGTGAGCCACGGCCAGTGATGGCACCTTGCAGATGTGCATGGGAAAGATGCCTGCCTGCTGAACCCTCGTCTCTGGAGGGAGGGAGGATCTCCGCCCTGTGGCAGGCCGGCCTGGCGGTGTTACACAGCAGGAGAGCTTCAGGCCAGGGCAAGCAGCAGAGTCAGAGGAGGGCAGACGAGCGCCCACTGGACTCGGGTGGGGGAGGGTGAGGAGCGCCCACTGGACTCGGGTGGGGGAGGGTGAGGAGCGCCCACTGGACTCGGGTGGGGGAGGGTGAGGAGCGCCCACTGGACTCGGGTGGGGGAGGGTGAGGAGCGCCCACTGGACTCGGGTGGGGGAGGGTGAGGAGCGCCCACTGGACTCGGGTGGGGGAGGGTGAGGAGCGCCCACTGGACTCGGGTGGGGGAGGGTGAGGAGCGCCCACTGGACTCAGGGACACGAGGCCATCCGGGGCTTTGAGGGAAGCAGCTCTGATCATATGATGGAGGCCATGCCAGAGTGCACCAGGAGCAAACAGACCCTGAGGCTTTTCCAATGACAAACCCTCCAAAAAAGGAAAGGCTAGGGCCATCAATGAAGAGGAGCATGGAATCCTGGGAAGAGCTGACTGCTCCTGAGTTTTCAGATGTGGGTGGTGGAGCACGTGGTCTGTTGTGACTGGGGTTGCCTGTGACACCGTTTGGTTAGGAGAGAAGTTTATGAGGCCAGCAGCTTGCGGTGGGAATGGCAGCCTCTCCATCCCTGCCTCTTCCTTCCTGCTCCCCATTCTGGCCACTTTCGCCTGTGTCTCACTGGCCGGATCCCAGTCACATGGCCCCACCCTGCTGCCCAGTCTTCTGTGGCCAAGGAGGAAGAGGAGAAGGGCATTGGTGGGTGACTGGCAGCCTCTGCCACATTCTGCTTAAATATTAATGAGAAATGCCAAAGTTACGGAGAAAGGAAGGTGGTTTTTGTTTCAGATTCCTGAGAAGGCTGGGTAGGGGGAGAGGCGGCTGTCCAAAGCCCAGGTGGGAGGGGCAGACTTTGGGAGAAGGACAGAAACAGCTTTCGTGGCTCCTCTCCTGCAGGAGAGATGCAGGAGGAGGGGTTCAAGTCTGCAGATGTGGCCACAGGAGGTCAAAGGCTTTCTGTCTGATGGCTTCTGCTTCGCGAAGACAGACGGGCGCTCGGCCAAGAGTGTGAGGTGTGCAGAATAGGTCAGACAATTTCACAGGGTCGGGAAGATACAAAGAAGATTCGTAATTGAAAGGAAAAGGATGTGGGGTTGTAGGGTAGTTCAAGAAAGAACTCAAGAGAGTGGTTGACTGTGTAGATGTGGGCTTCGAGCGCACTGGGAAGCTGGGGAGTGGAGTCCCAGTAAGGCCAGTGAGCAGCCTCGTGGGAGCCACTGGGTGGGCAGCTTGGAAGAGGAGGGCAGCTGCAGAGGCAGGTAACTGGAACTGAGATTGGGAGGTGGATCAGTCCGAGGGAATGTCCGGGCTTTCCCTGACTGTGAGAGGAGCTGACGGTTGAGATGGAGGGAGACGATGTGGTGGAGAAGAGGAAGTGGAAGATCCGAGAAGCCAGGCCACCGAATGGGTCATCCACGTGGCATCTGAGTCGTTCAGGATGAGGCAGGACCGAGGTGTGAGCAAGACGTAAAACAACGTCTTCGCAGCTCTGCCTGGCTCAGGGCTGTGAGGCTGCCATGGGAAAGCAGTTGTAAGTTGGGTGTGTGACTCCCAAGCCCTGGATGGGCATGGTCTCCTGCGCCCATCCCTCCCCTCACTGGCCTAGCCGACCCAGGACTCCAGGGGCATCTGGCTCCACCCTTTGTAAAATAAATACCCAAACCCTAGTCTGGCCTTTGAGGCTGCCTTTACCCGCAGAGTGCCGTGGCTCAGAGCAAAGACCCCTCTGATCAGATCTCCTGGGTTCTATTCTTAGGCCTGTCACCTTATGTATGTGGGGCCTTGGCTAAGTTAACAAAACTCTAGTGCCTCAGTTTCCCTCTATAAGATGGAAATTGTAAAGGACAGCTCTCTAAGGATTAAATGGGGTAACCTACATAAAGTACTTACAGGTGTTAGCTGCCATTTTAACTCCTCCTGGCCTCCTTGCACAGCAAGCAGGCTGCTGACCTCCTGGACCACTCAGAAGCTTCATCTTTTCCCGACTCCTGCCTCGGAAAGCTCTGCACACCTTCCTCTCCTCTCTTCCTCAGTCAGGAGCACCACACCTTGGTAAGCTCTGCTACACTAGCCCGACCATGACTGGCCTGCGCTTCGTGTCCCCACAGCTGGGCCGTAATTCAGGACAGCCTTGCCTCCTACCTGGACCCACACAAGGCTGGCCTCGCTCATCCCTGCCCTCCCGAGTTCTGATTCAGCTCCTGCCCACTGAAGAACAGCTGTGGCCTCTAGCCCACCAGGGGGTCCCCGCCTCATTCAGGAAGGTGTGGCTATTTCTTTCTTTTTTTTATTTTTTTCTTTTTAAATTTTGAGATGAAGTCTCACTCTATTGCCCAGACTGGACTGCAGTGGCACATTCTCGGCTCACTGCAACCTCCGCCTCCCGGGTTTAAGGATTCTCCTGCCTCAACCTCCTGAGTAGCTGGGACTATAGGCATGCACCACCAAGCCCAACCAATTATTATTATTATTATTCGAGACAGAGTCTTGCTCTGTCACCCAGGCTGGAGTGCTGTGTCGAAATCTTGGCTCATTGCAACCTCCGCCTCCTGGGTTCAAGCGATTCTCCTACCTCAGCCTCCTGAGAAGCTGGGATTACAGGCACCAGCCACCATGCCCAGCTAATTTTTATAGTAGAGATGAGGTTTCACCACGCTGGCCAGGCTGGTCTTGAACTCCTGACCTCAGGTGATCTGCCCACCTGGGCCTCCCAAAGTGCTGGGGTTACAGGTGTGAGCCACTGCACCCAGCTTTTTTTTTTTTTTTCTTTTTTGTATTTTTAGTGAAATAGAGTTGTTGCCATGTTGGCTAGGCTTGTCTCAAACTCCTGACCTCAAGTGATCCACCTGCCCTGGCCTCCCAAAGTGTTGGAATTATGGACCTGAGCCACAGTGCTCAGCTGTGTCTATTTCTCCTTCCTTCCTCCCTCCCTCCCTCCCTCTCTCCTTCCCTCCCTCCTCTTCCTCCTCCTCCTCCTCCTGTTCCTCCTCCTCTTCTTGTTCCTCCTCCTCCTCCTCTTCCTCCTCCTCCTCCTCCTCTTCCTCCTCCTCCTGTTCCTCCTCTTCCTCCTCCTGTTCCTCCTCCTCCTGTTCCTCCTCCTCCTCCTCCTCCTCTTCCTCCTCCTCCTGTTCCTCCTCCTCCTGTTCCTCCTCCTCCTGTTCCTCCTCCTGTTCCTCCTCCTCTTCCTCCTCCTCCTCCTCCTCCTCTTCCTCCTCCTCCTGTTCCTCCTCCTCCTGTTCCTCCTCCTCTTCCTCCTCCCCCTCCTCCTCCTCTTCCTCCTCCTCCTTCTCTTCCTCTTCCTCCTCCTCTTCCTCCTCCTCCTCCTGTTCCTCCTCCTGTTCCTCCTCCTCCTCCTGTTCCTCCTCCTCCTGTTCCTCCTCCTGTTCCTCCTCCTCTTCCTGTTCCTCCTCCTCATCCTCCTCTTCCTCCTCCCCCTCCTCCTCCTCTTCCTCCTCCTCCTTCTCTTCCTCTTCCTCCTCCTCTTCCTCCTCCTCTTCCTCCTCCTCCTCCTGTTCCTCCTCCTTTTTCTCCTCCTCTTCCTGTTCCTCCTCCTCCTCCTCTTCCTCCTCTTCCTTCTCTTCCTCCTCTTCCTCCTCCTTCTCCTTCTCTTCTTCCTCCTCCTCCTCTTCCTCCTCCTTCTTCTCTTCCTCTTCCTCCTCCTCTTCCTCCTCCTTCTCCTCTTTCTCCTCCTCTTCCTGTTCCTCCTCCTCCTCCTCCTGTTCCTCCTCCTCCTCTTCCTCCTCCTCTTCCTCCTTCTCTTCCTCTTCCTTCTCCTCTTCCTCCTCCTTCTGTTCCTCCTCCTGTTCCTCCTCCTCTTCTTGTTCCTCCTCCTCCTCCTCTTCCTCCTCCTCCTCTTCCTCCTCCTCCTCTTCCTCCTCCTCCTCTTCCTCCTCCTCCTCTTCCTTCTCCTCCTCTTCCTCCTCCTCCTCTTCCTCCTCCTCTTCCTCCTCCTCTTCCTCCTCCTCTTCCTCCTCCTTCTCCTTCTCTTCCTCCTCCTCTTTCTCCTCCTCTTCCTGTTCCTCCTTCTCCTCCTCCTCTTCCTCCTCCTCCTGTTCCTCCTCCTCTTCCTGTTCCTCCTCCTCTTCCTGTTCCTCCTCCTCTTCCTGTTCCTCCTCCTCTTCCTGTTCCTCCTCCTCTTCCTCTTCCTCCTCCTCCTTCTCTTCCTCCTTCTCCTCTTCCTCCTCCTCCTCTTCCTCCTCTTCCTCCTCCTCCTCTTCCTCCTCCTCCTCTTTCTCCTCCTCTTCCTCCTCCTCCTCCTCTTCCTCTTCCTCCTCCTCTTCCTCCTCCTCCTTCTCTTCCTCTTCCTCCTACTCCTCTTCCTCCTCCTCTTCCTTCTCCTCTACCTTCTATTCCTCTTCCTCCTCCTCCTCATCCTCCTCTTCCTCATCCTCCTCCTCTTCCTCCTCCTCCTCCTCCTCTTCCTTCTCTTCCTCCTCCTCCTCCTCCTTCTTCTTCTTCTCCTACTCTCTCTCTCTCTCTCTTTCTTTCTAGCTGGGACTATAGATGCACACCCCTTACCTGGCTAATTAAAAAATATATATATTGTGGCCCAGGCTGGGCAAATACTCCTGGGTTCAAGTGCTCCTCCCATGTTGGTTTCCCAAAGTGCTGGGATTGCAGGTGTGAGCCACCGCAGCTGGCCCAGAGTTATTTGTTTGTTTCTTTGCTGTTGTTGTTTGGAGATGGAGTCTCACTGTCGCCAGGCTGGAGTGCAGCAGCTTGATCTCGGCTGACTGCAACCTCCACGTCCCAGGTTCAAGCAATTCTCCTGCCTCAGACTCCTGAGTAGCTGGGATTACAGGTACCTGCCACCACACCCAGCTGATAGTGATGGGGTTTCACCATGTTGGCCGGGCTGGTCTCAAACTCCTGACCTCAGGTGATCCACCCAGCTTGGCCTCCCAAAGTGCTGGGATTACAGGTGGGACCCACCATGCCTGGCCACCTGTGTCTATTTCTTGATGACACTCTAACACCCTTGATGACTGTCCAATACTCTCCCTCCATGACTGTTGAAGATGCACCTTGACTGTCCAATACTCTTGATAATTGTCCAGTGCCTTCCACAACTTTCCATACCCGACATGACTGTCCAGCACTCTTCATGACCGTCACCACTCTCAGTGATTGTCCGGTACCTTTTATGACTTTCCAATACTCTCCATGACAGTCCAAAACCCTCTGTGACTGTGCAGTACCTTCCACAGTTGCCCAGTACCCTCCAGGACTGTCTAACGCCCTCGATGAGTGTCTGCTGCCCTCAGTGACTGTCCAATACCCTCAGTGAGCATCATTCATGGGGGGAGCTGGTGCTGGCTGAAGAGGGGTGTTCAGAGGGGGCCCATTTGCGTTTTGAAGGAAGAAATGTATTTGAAAAGTGGAGAAGGTTAGGAGGGGCCTTCCCAGCAGGAGGGAGCACTTGGGACTCTAGCAGGTGCTGGCAGGTAGCAGAGTGAAGTTGGGGAGGGTAGGCACAGTGGCCAGCAGCATGAGGTGAGGCCGGAGCCTTTTCCCACTCCCTGGACTCATTTTCCAGCAGGTAGCAGCCTGCCTTGTCCACTGTGGGGTCCTGCTGTACCCTTGATGCCTATTCAATACCCTCAATGCCTGTCCAGTACCCTCCATAGCATCCAATGCACTCCGTGAGTGTCCAATACCCTCAATGCATGTTCAACACTCTCAGGGATGGTCCAGTGCCCTCCATGACTGTCCAGTACCCTCAATGCATGTTCAACACCCTCAGGGATGGTCCAGTGCCCTCCATGAGTGTCCAGTACCCTCAATGCATGTTCAACACTCTCAAGGATGGTCCAGTGCCCTCCATGACTGTCCAGTACCCTCAATGCATGTTCAACACTCTCAGGGATGGTCCAGTGCCCTCCATGAGTATCCAGTACGCTCAATGCATGTTCAACACTCTCAGGGATGGTCCAGTGCCCTCCATGACTGTCCAGTACCCTCAATGCATGTTCAACACTCTCAGGGATGGTCCAGTGCCCTCCATGACTGTCCAGTACCCTCAATGCATGTTCAACACCTCAGGGATGGTCCAGTGCCCTCCATGAGTGTCCAGTACCCTCAATGCATGTTCAACACTCTCAGGGATGGTCCAGTGCCCTCCATGACTGTCCAGTACCCTCAATGCATGTTCAACACTCTCAGGGATGGTCCAGTGCCCTCCATGAGTATCCAGTACGCTCAATGCATGTTCAACACTCTCAGGGATGGTCCAGTGCCCTCCATGACTGTCCAGTACCCTCAATGCATGTTCAACACTCTCAGGGATGGTCCAGTGCCCTCCATGAGTGTCTAGCATCCTCCATGAGCATCCACTACCTTTGTGAGTGTCCAATACCCTCCATAACTGTTCAGTACCCTCAGAGAGTCCAGAACTCTCAATGACTGTCCAGTACTGTCCATGACTATTGAATACCCTCTATACCTGTCCAATACTCTTCATGACTGTCCAGTGCCTTCAATGGGCATTCCAGCTGGACCACACTCTCAAACACCCTCCTACAGCACCCTTCATTTCCTTGTTCATTTCCCCAAACTCCCCCATCCATATCCTATCTTCCAAAGCAGCATGGTCCTGCTTTGTCCTGCAGACCCCGGGGAAGGTCTGACCCCACCACAGGCCTCCAGATGCCTCCAGCCTGTCCAGTCGCCTCCACCAAAACTCCCACCCATCCTGCCCTGTGCATCTCTGCCCCCGTTGGGCAAGGCCCCTAGAGTCTTGAACTGATGTCTCACCCACGCAGCTCAGCGCAGGGCCATCAGTACCTGCTGACCCCCTTCCCTCACCAGGATGCGAGAACGGAGCCAGTGTGCATCTTAGGCAGCCCTGGAGAAATCGGGTCAAAGATGAAAGGCTGACTCTTGATTTGGGAAGTGAAAGCCCGGGGCCATGAGGGTGAGGCCAGGCAAGCAGCCAAGCAATGCCGTGCACGGCCGCCCTGACCACCACTCCCAAAGGCAATGCTGTGGCCCCGCCTCAGAGAGGAAGGAGGGTGGTGTCTGCTGCAAACCCAATGTCTCCCAGTCCCAGTGATCCAGTTCACTCCACAAGCCAGGTGGCGTGTCCTGGAAGGTGACATTTCAGCTAAGCCCCAAGGTGAGCGTCAACCTGCAGGAAAGAAACAGCAGGCAGAAACAGACCCAAGAGGTGCCTGGGTTTGTGTTCACAGCACTAAGGGTCCCCAGCAAGGGGATGAATGAACGCGGCGCTCAGCTGCCTTCCACAGGACAAAGCAGCCACAGGCAGGCCGGCCCTCTGTGACGGTGAGGGCTCCATGCGGAAAGACCTGGCCACGGCCTCCTTTCTCCTCAGGCCTCTCAGCCAGCATGCCTGGTGGAGGAGCTTCTTAGGGGCCTGGGAATGGGTCTGGAGCCAGCACCGAAGATACAAGGAGAGACAGTTTCACAGTCACACTTTGCAGCAAGTGTGAGGGCCACCACGTGTCTCTTCCCCAGAACCCCGTCCACCCCACCCCTGACTCACTTCCAGTGGAGCCACCACCGCTGGCCCAGCAGCCCCATCTTCAGCCCGCTGGCGTCTTGGGCACTGTGTGTTGTGGGTGCTGTGGGGGGTGTCCGCCTGCTCTCTCCTTTCCCCTGCCTAAGACCCCACTCGCCTCTGTATCCTTCCACGCAGGGCCCTTTCACTTGGCTTTCTTTCTCTTTTGCGTTAAACCCTGAGGGTCCAGGCTCCCTTTCTGCAAAGGCCAGGAGAGCCTGACTTCTAGACCCTCCTTGGAGTAAGGGGAGATAGTTGCGTTCTCTCCCAGCAGGTATGCTCAACCCCGGAGTGGGTTGGATCCTTCTTACGCAGCAAAAACATGAAGAGAATGGCCAGGCTCAGTGGCTCATGCCTGAAATCCCAGCTCTTTGGGAGACCAAGGCAGTGGGATTGCTTGCCCGGGAGTTTGAGACCAGCCTGGCCATCGTGAGTTTCTATCTCAACAAAAATCAGAAAATTAGCTGTGTGTGGTGGCTCACACCTATAGGCCAAGCTTTCAGGAGGATGAGGTGGGAGGATCCCTTGAGCCCAGGAGGTTGAGGCTGCAGTGAGCTATGATCATGCTACTGTACGCCAGCCTGGCTACTAAGTGTGACCCTGTCTCCGAAATAGAAAAAAAAAAAAAAAAAAAAAAAAATTAAAAAGAAAATGGAGCCGGGCGCGGTGGCTCAAGCCTGTAATCCCAGCACTTTGGGAGGCCGAGGCGGGTGGATCACAAGGTCAAGAGATCGAGACCATCCTGGTCAACAGTGGTGAAACCCCGTCTCTACTAAAAATACAAAAAAGTAGCTGGGCATGGTGGCATATGCCTGTAATCCAAGCTACGCAGGAGGCTGAGGCAGGAGAATTGCCTAAACCCAGGAGGACGGAGGTTGCGGTGAGCCGAGATCGCGCCATTGCACTCCAGCCTGGGCAACAAGAGTGAAACTCCGTCTTAAAAAAAAAAAAAGAAAAGAAAATGGAGAGAAAAAAAATCACAGTTTCCTTATCAAACAAGGCTGCGTGCTGCTTTCTTGCCTCACACCACTGAGAGGTTTGTTATCTGGGCTCTAAAAACAGGCCCACGTGCCTAGCTCTCCGCTCTGCTTGGTGGCATCGGAGTGAAGACAGAGGTCACGCAGCAGAGGGACGTGCTGGCCGCAGGCTGCTTGGCGTCCCTGGTGACTCGCAGTGGCTTCACAGTGCTGGGTGGGGTGGGAGAGTGCCTCTCGGGCCCAGCCCCACGGCCTGGGCTTTAAAGCAAACAAGTGGGGATGCTTCAGTCCTAGGGGCAGGGGGAGCCGGGAGCTGTAAGATACCATCTGAAGCCGGGCGCGGTGGCTCAAGCCTGTAATCCCAGTGCTTTGGGAGGCTGAGGCGGGTGGATCACGAGGTCAAGAGATCGAGGCCATCCTGGTCAACATGGTGAAACCCCGTCTCTACTAAAAATACAAAAAGTTAGTTGGGCATGGTGGTGCAGTGCCTGTAATCCCAGCTACTCAGGAGGCTGAGGCAAGGAGAATTGCCTCGAACCCAGGAGGCGGAGGATTTCGGTGAGCCGAGATCGTGCCATTGCACTCCAGCCTGGGTAACAAGAGTGAAACTCCTGTCTCAAAAAAAAAAGAAAAAAAAGATAGCATCTGAGCCTCCCTTTAGAAAGACCCCAGGTCCCCACTCCTCTGGAGATGAGACCTGAGGAAGGGCCCCACATGCAGATCTCCCTTTCCTGGTGCTCCAGTCCCTCCAACATCCTGGTGTGGGGCACTGAAGCCTGCACGTGGCTTTGCTTTGTCAGACCCTGGAGCAGATGCCAGGTGAGCACAAAGCCACACTGTACTCCCTGGCAGGCACGAATGGACCCATGCATCTGGCTGAGCCCCAGCTCAGCTCTGAGGGGCCCTGCACCGGTGGGTGCCTCCACAGGGCTCGAGGTCAGAGCTCCCTGCCCACCTGCTGCCTGCACTCCTGGCAGACACGCCCTACTCCAGTAGCCTGGGACCCAGATTCTCCAGGATAACTCCAAGCGTAAAAACCCCTCCCATGGTCAGACTCAGACCAGCTGTCCTAATTTGGGGTTTGGAAAATAAAGCTACTGAACACATGCCAGCATGTGCCCAAGACATCTGCAGGGAACAGGTTGCCTGTCACATTCACGACTGTCCCGAACCCTCTGCACAAACCTTCCTGATCTTCCATCCTCCTGATCAAAGCACCTCCACACCGAAACTGCTTCACTCAGGCCGGTGTTGGGGGGTGTGAATGAGTGCCCCAGAACACCACTCGAACGAAGCCTGTGCCATTAGACTTATCCTGTGAAGCTGGAAACTGCCTGCAGAAGAGTAAGGGACTTGCCTAAGATCACCCTGCAGAAGCAGGGGTTTGTAACGGAGAAGGGGTACAAAGTGCTCCCAGAGCAAGCCCCCTCCTGCACGCAGAGAAAGGCTTCCTGTGGGAGGTCTGATGGGGAGAGGTGCTCTCCAGCGCCTAGGAACAGGAAGGATGGCCTGGCAGGGTGACAGCAGGTGCAACTCTGCAGAGGCAGGAGACAGTGGTGCCTGCAGACAAGGAGCCGGGCACGGGAGCGAGGAATTGGCTTCACTGAAGTCTGGAATTGGCTTCAGGAGGAATGCTAAGTCCCAAGCCCTTCTCCGAGAGGAGGAAACCCGGCCTCAGGGGGTTGTGCAGCCTGGCCAAGGCCCTGACCTCTCGGAAGCACAACCCCAGGCCCCAAGAAGTCACACGATGTGGCTGGCAGAAGTGGCAGCCCCTCTCAGCAGGAAGCCCACCTCCAGTGCTGAGTCACGCTGGCTCTGGCCAGTGGCACGGGCAGGAGGAAGGTGGCAGGCCCAGCTGTGGTTCCTGCTAGGACTTCTGCTTCCCAGACCTCCAGCCTCCCTGGGTCCGCCCAGGTGCGCACAGCCAGTGCACAGCCCTCCGAAGGGCGGGGGGCGTGGGGAGGCCACCAGGCCTCCAACCCTCCCTGCCTCTCCCACTGCATGTCACTGGGCTGGGGCTCCCCCGGCCGCCATGGCCATGACAGATCCTCGGGCACTCTCGGGATGAGGCCTGCGAGGGAGGAGTGTCCGAGCCACAGACTGCAGAGCGGCAGGATGCGTGCGGGGAGCTGGTGCTGGCTGAGGAGGGGTGCCGGAGGGGACACATTTGCATTTTGAAGGAAGAAAGGTGTCTGAGAAGTGGACACAGGCAGGAGGGGACTTCCGGCAGGAGGGGACTTCTGGCAGGAGGGAGACTTGGGCTCGGGCAGGCACCTTGGCCTTCGGGCAGCAGAGGGAAGCTGGGGAGGGTGGCCCAGGGCAACCGCGGTGGGGGAGGCCCGAGGCTTTTCCTGCTTCCTGGGCTGATTGTCCAGCTGCCAGCTGCCTGCCTGGCTCACTGTGGGGCTCTGCTGGCCCCTCAGCCTCGGTCTGACAGGCCCTGGTGAGCACTTGGGTCAGGGGAACCGGGGGGGTGTGGCAGGGTGCTGGGAAGGGTGTACTAGGTCTTCGGGTCAGAAGGCGGAGGTCCCCGAGGGAAACTGCAGCGGGGTCTCACCTCCTGCATCTTCCCCAGCTGTGAGGCTCCAAGAGGGCACCCCTTCCAGACAGCAGCCTTGTGAGGGAGAGGAGGGCCTGGGAGCTGAGCAGAGGCAGAGGCAAGACCCTGGCCTGGGCAGGAAGGGCTGGGCAGCGCCAGCCTCCAAGGGCGGGGCGGGCCACCATTAGGATCTCACTGGCCTCTGTCTGCCCTTAGTGGAGGAGTCAAGGCCAGGGCCGCTTTCGGGCAGCCCAGGCTCCGTTAGACCGGTGCTGAGATGGCAGGGGAGGGAAAGGAGGGGCCTCCATGGCTGGGGAGTCCGCCAAGGCATCGCGGGGAGGCTGTGGTGCTAAACCAATGACCCCGACTCCTGGGTACACAGCCCCAGTCCCTCTGAGGTGATGCCTCCTCTGGGACCTCATAGAGGGTAGCCAGGGCCTCCTGGGAAGGTGACAGAAGTGGCAGCAGCCTTAGAACCCAAGCCATCAAGTAGCCCCCCTGCCCCCCGCCTCCCAGGAGCCCTGCAGCCTGCAGCCTTGCGGAGCGGGAGCCGGCCAGGGCCCCACCCCTGCAAAGCACTCTCAGCTTCGTTTCCTTGCTGGTACCCTGTCCACCCCTCCTGTAGGCAGTGATGGGGACGGCTTCTGCCCAGGGTGGCTTCAGGGCACTGGGAAGTGATGGAGGGGGCAGCACAGTGTGGGTGGCACCAGCAGTGAGCTGGGTGGCATCAGGAGGTGGGCTCTTGGGTTCTCACCCTGAGCTGCCACTGGCTCACAGGCTGGCTGGGGATCCATCTCGCCTCCCTCCACCGGTTCCTGCCATGGATGGGAATTTCAGACCCAGT